AACCTAGAAATCAAACAATTTTTATTTTTAGATGGTGGGTTAGTGGTTTGAGTAAAATGATACCATAGACAAACAAAAATTAAGTGTGATAAGTAAAAAATATTTTATATAATGTAAATGAAATATATAATTTAAAGGGAAAATTATAGTCAAAGTCGGCTATACATTTAAAATTAGGTTGCAGGTTGGTCCAAAAACCAACCAAATTCTGAAAATCGGCTCTACATTTCAAATTATAAAAACCCCCACTATGTCATCGGAGGCTTATATGGCTGTTGCCAACATTGGACTCTTATTCCATGTTGGACACAACAGACAACCTATATTGAAAATAGGTTTTCAGTTTCTCTCCCACTCCCTCCCTTCTCTCTCACTCTCACAGTTGTCTCTCGATCTCCTGCTCACTCTGTCTTTCCCACTCTCTTTGCTTCGATCTGTAGCCAAATCAAAATCTCTCTCTCTACCTCTCTATTGTTCTCCCTCAACCTTTCTCATTCTTCTCCCTCACTTGCCCTCTCGGTCAAAATCTCCTTCTCCCTCAATCTCTATCGTTCTCCAATTGGTGTAAATTTCATAGCCAAGAGTTTCTTGTGAATTTTATCAAATTGGTGTAATAATTTTTGAACCATACCAAGTTGGTCTCGTGTTCCTTTATACAATCTGATTAATACCAAATAAGTGTGTAAGAAAATAAGAAAATAAAAAAATGAGAGAGGGAGAGGGAGAGAAACTGAGGGAGAACGATCGAAAATAAGGGAGAAGGAAGATCGCCCGAGAAAGAGAATGAGAGAGATTGAGGGAGAATGATAGGTAGAGAGAGAGAATGAGAGAAAAACTAAAAACCCTTTTTTTTTTATTTTCCAATCACCCAACATTAAAGGGCAATTCCAGTATAAGCTTTATATTGTGTCCAATATGGATTAAAAGTCCCATGTTGGCAATAGCCACATAATCCTCTGATGACATGGCGAGGGATTTTATAACTTGAAATATAGAGCAGTTTGTTAGAGTTTTGTTGGTTTATGGACCAACTTGTAACCAAATTTTAAATATACAGCCGGCTCCGACTATAATTTTCCCTAATTTAAAACTAATCCAAAAGCAATGCTATTTCTTATCTAGATGGTGGGTCAATGATCCAACTTTTCAAAAAAACGCATGATGTCATAATTGAATAATAAATATTTAAGTTTATTTTCAATCATATTGTTATTTTTTTAATTTTCAATTTCTATCTTAACTATGATATATCTAAAATTCAAGTAATTAATATGAAGAAAAATTTGTCATGTGCAACGCATGTGCTTAATTACTAATATATTTAAATGGATAAGACCTTAAGAACATTATGGTAATTTATTGTTAATATCTTTCCTGAAATGTTATAGGTTGTAAAGATTTCCTTTTTTTTTCATTTAAAGATAAACATGAAAATCATACCAAACTTTCCTTCATACATAGATAACATTATATTTCCTTTTTACAACTTTCCGAGGTTATGGAGACATCATTTTAGAGTGCCACATATTTGGATCTGTTCATTTCAACTTCCATACTTGCACATTGTGTTTTAAATACTTAACTCGAAAAGCTTTTCTGATCTTGAAATATGGAAGATTAACTTGTATCTGGGTCTGGGGTTCATGTACCACACCTATTGTGTTTGTAATTTAGATAAAACATGGAAAATAAATTGGTAACTATCAACCAATAAGTAATACCACTTTACTTACATTTGGTTGGGAGAAATACCTTTTCTTTCCATGCTCCCTAGACTTTACTGCCTTTCATACTTAAAAATAAACCCATGCCATTTTACTTACATTTGGCAGCTGTGGAAGCCACCATAACCAAGAATTATATTACAAATCCAATTTTACAACATTAGCCCACCATTCCCCAAAGAAGTTGCCCCCAGTTCCTCCTTGTTTTGACAAAATATCAACCAACCCTTTTGCTGATCTTTGCATCCATACTACATTTACAAGCCTATCCCTTTTCAGCATTTTGAATTTTCGATCTCCTTCATAATGTTTTTGCATTGCCATGGAGCCTTCTCATTTTCCAGCCACTCAATCACCATGCAGAATCCCCTTCTAAATTCTAATTCTATGTTGCTATAGTTAAAACCTTTTAGCTAATCTCAGCCCTTGCAAAGTGGCTAGCATGTCTACCTTTAATTTATGGAGTTTCCTTGCCCAATTGGTCCTGAGAAGATGCCAAAATAAAACCATTACAATCCTTGATAATCACTCAATGTGTAACATTACCTAGTTTTTCTTTTTGTGCACGTAATATATTGTTTTTGGTGGCATTTCATTGTTATTGGTTATTTAACTCTGATCCATGAATTAGGTGTAAATTGTTGAAGTTTCTGGTGGGTGTTGCCCTGTTGGGAATTTGACAAGTTGCAGTAGTCAACTTCTGTTCTCATCCAATTAAGACTGCAGAATTGCAGCTGGAATTTAGGAACTACCCAACCACCAAATTTATCCTTCCCCCAACTCGAGCCTGTTTTTGCCAACTCATGGATTTAACAAGTTAAATGAAAACTTTTGTTGACTCAGGGTTTAGTCTTCACAATTTTTAAGCTTAGCTGAGAAGACTGAATGACCATGATATGCCTAAAATATGACTCAAATTCATGACTTTACCAAGTTAAATTTGAGTTTTTTAACCATGATCTAGAGAGATGTATGCCTGTGTTTCTTTTCACTTCTCTTTCTTTGCATCAAATTATTATATTTCTTATTCCAGATTCTTCTGTTTTGAGTTCCAGGTGTGTTTACTGAACTTATACAGCAAATGCAAGTAAAAGGCGTGCAGGTGATCTATCTTGAGGCTTCATATAATTATCATAGGTTCCATAAACTTATATAATATGGTGCAATCTTCACAATGCATTTTAATGATGTCTTTTTTCTTTATTTCTTACCACAAACACATACCAATCAATTTACAAATTACACTGAAAATGGTTTTTCCYTATTATGCACATGTAATATGGGGAATGCTGAACCATCTATTGTAAATTGATATCTTAGTTAATAAATCCTCTAATTCCAGTTCTAGGTTCCTTCTAACCTGTCCTCCACACCACATTCTCTTTGGGCCTCCTTGTGGTCTAACTCCTCAATCCTCCTAACAATCCTCTCTTTGATTTCTTCAATTTTCCCAAATTCATCCGTATTCCAATCCTTTATTCTCCCTTTTAGCCTCTTCATTTTTTTTTTTTTTTTTGAGAATCTTATCCCTTTGTTATCTACATTAATTCCATCTTCCATCCACCATTCCTTTATTTTTTTTAGTAAACTTTGGAACTTCCAGCCTCATGTTTTCAAATCTGAAAGGTGCAGGGTCCCCAAGGTGAAAGGCCCGGTCTAGGCATAGAGGGCAATGGTCAGAGGTTACCCTAGGGAGGGCTCTCAAGGTTAGTTTTTCCCACATTTCTGTCCAATCAATGGAGAACATGAACCTATCCAATTTTGAACAGATAAGAGTTTCCTAAAAGTTGGACGAGTCACCAGTGTAGGTCCAGTAGGAAGTTTGCAATAAGGGCTTCTTTTAGTTCTAAGGTTTCCATCAAAGAGTTAAATTTTCTCATACTCATGGTTATGGCCTGGCTTGGGTTATTTGTTTCATTGATAAAACTTATGGCATTGAAATCACTGCCCAAATGCCAGGGCCCCTCCCATAGACCCCTGATTGCAGCTAACTCTTCCCAGAGATGGTCCCTTTCTCTGTATGAGTTGGGGCCATACACATTTGTTAAAACTCACTCTTCCATTGTTTTTTTTTTGGCTTTTATTGACACTAAAATATTCCCAGTCACTTCTTCCAGGCACCACTTCCTTATTTCTCCAAATCGTAAGAATACCACCTGAGGCACCCCAAGAAGGGGCGAATGACTAATTCAACCCTCTACTGCTCCAAATACTTTTATCCATCTTCTATTCAACTCTGCGAGCTTTATTTTTTGTAGCATTACTATATCTGGTTTCTCTTTTCTTGAGTCATTCCTGATTCCTGATAATCCTTCTCTTTTTTGCACTCCCCAAGCCATTCCAACAAATAATCTTCATTGCTATTGACTCAAAATGCTTTTCTTTTTTTTTGATAAATGACTCAAAATGCTTTTGATAGACTTTCATTTTGGCAAGCTCTTTCCCCACTTCCTCTGGTCCCTGCCCCACCTTGCTTGGTGAGTCATTGGTTTTACCTTCTTCTACAGAGCTCACAGCATTTTTTTCTCCAAACTCTACTGGGTCTCTAGTAGTGTTTTGCCCCTCCCCTTTCTTCTCAGACATCTCTTCCAATTCTACTAGTGCAGTAAAGTTCCCTAGGATTAGGTCCATTATTTCCTTCTCCTCAAAGTCAGCATCCCTTGATCCTCCCCTTCCCTCAGATGCACCCAGATCATTGTCCATGTCAAGCGTAGCTTCCAAGACTGGATCTGCCAAGACAAAAGAAGAGGAATTAGTACAGAGAGAAGGGGTTACAACAGGAACAGAGGGTGTGGGGGGGGGAGGACAGCTGGAGCCATCTGTTCCTCAGGTGAAACTGTGTTTGGCTCATCTTGAAAACCCAAAACCCCACTACTGAGATTCTGTGGTTGTGCTTGAGATGTTCCGTCAACCATTTCTTTCTCAGGCTCTTCTGTAGATCCCCTAAAGTCTGCAATAGAATTTTCCACCCCCACTTCCTTCAGTTCTAGAACTTTAGTACCAGAGTCCTCTTCAAATAAGAGTTTGGTTCCAAAACACTCGAAATTTGACATTTTGCAACCTTTTGTTGAATTAAGGTTTCAAATACTTGAGGGAGGGTTGATCGACTTCCTCCTCTTCAATATCTCTGAGCTCCTCCTAATCAGTTTCATCTTCTAAATCCTTGTGTTCTTCTCTGTTGTAATGCAGGTTTGTAGTTGGATGGGAAACACCGCAAAACTTCCAAGACAAAGGGTTTTCTGAGTCTCTTTTATTGAATGCTGCCTTAGGAGTTGGACTGGAAACACCCCTGTACACAGGATCTGCTGCAGGTTGTTGAAAGCTAGAGGGTTGGTTCGATTGGGACGACGATAGACCTTGAGAATTGTCCCCAATCGACTGGTTGGGCCCCTGCACCTGATTTTTTAAAGGGTCACGTGGTCCAGTCAAAATAAAAGGTCTCGGTTCAACCCATGGGGTAGACTGCTCATGACCCAAACCAAAGTGGGTTACGACCACATCACTGCTGAATTGAAACTTGTCCGCGGAGCGGTTAGATTTCACCACCTCAGCAAAAGATAATTTTTGGGCCGTTTGTTTATTTTTGAAAAAAATGAAAAATGATCCTTTTGAGGAAAAAACCCATTCTGGCATTTTCTTGAGACTTTTCAGTTTCCGGTCTTGTATGCTCCATTTAACCTTTGCGGCAGTCCACCGAGCTTCGTCCACGTGGCACCCACTCATCCACGTCAGCTTCACCTTCTACCTTCAACACAAAACTCCAGAGCTTTGCCTCTATCTCCATTCTCCAATGCTAGCTAAACCAACCTCCAACAGTCATCGGCAAAAATTCTATCGCACGGGGTATTTTTCAGGCTTCACTCCTACCACCTTAATCTTAGCCACACGAAGATCTTGCAAGCAATAAGCTTCCAAGATTCCTCCACAGATAACTGCTATTCGGTGAAAGAGGCAGTCCTGCCGGAGGTTGAAAGGCAGACCAAAAAGCTTAATAACCAGGGTAGTTTCTTGGATAATCAGCTTGTTACATGCTGGTGACCAATTTTCAATTGTGACCCAGCCGGCCTTTGTTTCTCCCACATCTAGGTTTGCTTTCAGTCACTGAAAGGGGTAATCTCCACCTTTCCTTTTAGTTGGCTCTTCTCCATTATCGCCTCTAGAATCTCCTTCCAGTTTTTTACCATCATTTTTTCCTTCACTACTTTCCTCTGGCTCCAATTTGTTCTTTTCCTGTCCATACCAGTTTCGAGCAAGTTTCAGAGGTGGTGAGTATTGCTTCTGCCTCTTGTTGACTAACTTCTGGTTATTTTAGTTTGGCTTCTTCACTCCTTTGGTCACCCACACTTCCTTCTTCAGGCTCTACTTTTTTTGTTCCTTCCTGGTTAGTAGTCCGTTAATTTATAACTGGCTTCATTTCTTTCATTACAATTTCTTCCAACGTCTTGGCTAGTTGCATCCACCCCTGTTTTTCTCTGCCTTCTGGTAGGCAGACCATCTGTTTCTTTCCCTTGCCAAAGAACTCTGTTAAAGTGACAAACCAACCATTGTGGTTTCTTATTTTCTAGTAAGTATTTCTTTCCCCTTCAAGCCAGCTTATTCCTCCATCCCAGTGTCTTCACTGCATAGATTGGTCACCCACACTTCCTTCTAGTAAGTATTTCTTTCCCCTTCGAGTCAGCTCATTCCTCCATCCCAGTGTCTTCACTGCGTAGGTCCCAGTCCAGCAGCACCATTGCCCTACTGTCCTCTCAGATTTTCGGAGTTATTCTTCCTCTGGTCTTTGATACCATGAGGAATGAAGCTGACAATGGGTGGGAAGAGATGCTTGAGGGGAGGATTAGTGATGGCTCGTGCAGTTTTCATTTAGGGCTTGTTCGTTTGCTCTGAAGTCTGACATCTGAAAGTGCAATAATTACATTAAGACTAAGAAGTATATTGGTATTGGTGAACTTTTCTTTCCTCTGAATTCTGAATGCAGAGATTGTTGTTCTGAATTCTGGAAATTATCAAATATCCATTTTGACCCTATATATGAGAGTTTTTGTTTGTCTTTTTGGGAGCAACATTGGAAAACAAAAAGTTGTATGGTTGCATTTTAAGAGATAAGAGATAAGAGGAAACGAACAACCAATTTTCTCTTAAAGTTAAAAGATTCCTCTTAAGAGATAAGAGTTAAGAGGAAACGAACAGGCCCTTAGTCTTGGGGGTTAGGGGATGGAGTGATGGTGTAGGGTGTTTGAGGAAGTTTTCGTTTTTCTGTTTTGTTTGGTGTTTGGTTTTCTGCTTTTTGCTTGTTTCATTTGAGGTGTTTTTCTTCCCCTTATGGGTGATTCCTTGTCACTGTCTCATTGTTTTAAAAGGTTTAAGCCTTGAGGCATGAGGCGTACACCTTGAGGTGAGGCGCATAGATGTTGCCTCAGGGCTTAAGCCTCACAACTTTTTAAGCTACAAACCTCAACGCATGAGGCATAACGTGAGGCATAAAAAGGCATAAGCCTCGAGTATCAACGATATTTAGTGATTTAATGCAACAAAAAAAAACATATTTTTATGCATTTTTTATTGTTCAAAATATAGAGAACTTCAATAATTATGGGCAAAAAAAAGAGTAAAAATGAAAAACCGATAGGGCAGTTCTCTGTTTTTTTATCAATAACTTCAAAGTTTTATTAATAGGAGCAAGTACTGGTAAGTACAGTTGATTCAAATACAATTTAAAGTTCATGAGAGATAAAACCTCTTATCTCTCCCCCAACGAACCTCTCATCACCCACCCCCTGCTTGGCTAGTGTATCAGCTATAGCATTAGCACTCTGCTTAACCCACCCTATCTTTACTTCCATATCTCTAATTAGCCACCTCAATTTCTTCCTATCATTATTATACATCCACATTTTCATCCCCTCGTCCTGTAACCAGATGATCACCAATTTTGAATCTCCCCTGACACTTAGCTTGCTGATGCTCATTGTTCTCGCTCTTTGTATGCCTCCCATTACAACCATTACTTTTGCTCTCAATGAATCTCCTTCCCTAGCCGGCCCAAAATATAGGGCAATGGTCTTGCCCTCCTCATCTCTAAACACATCCAATGCCAGAAGG